TGATGCCACATTATCCCAAATTTGCTTTATAAAGAAACAATCTTTGAAGGCAAAGCTACAACAGTTCTGTTTCTGCCCCTTAATGCTCCCTGGTTCAGTTCTCTATCTTACTGGCATTAAAATGCAGAGAAAAGGTAAAGGTGTTGTTCACCCATGCCAAGGGCTGGTATCCAATGTTGCTCTAGTTCACATTGTTGGAGTAGGTAGAGAGCTAGACATACACAGGAAAAGGGAGGAGTACTTTGGTCAGATGCTTGCTTACATTCTACACATTCTGTATAAGCTGTTCCTGTGGGAGGGTGGGTGATAGTACAGATAACAGACTGGCCAAACTGGTTGGTTCCATAATGGAGAAGTTGACCCTGACTTCACCTCCAAATACATTATACACTCATTAACACAGTAAAATTCACCCCCTCCATCATTAACATAGTAAAAAGTCACACTTCCGAGGAGAAACAAATATAGTCAAAACCCCCCTGTCTAACATGAGGGTGGAGCAAGCCTGACTCCAGGAGGACTCCACCTGTTCCCTTTGAAACATCACCTCACTTAAGGAATCTTCACCTTTCTTCATATGAAAAAGGCTCCCTATTGTTCCCTCAGTGCAAACCCTGTGGGTCTGCCAGCAGACCAGCTCTCTGCATGTACTCTTGTCTTTCTCTGAACTTTATTGTCCAACTAAACTTAACGGTCAACCACATTTTTTCTGTGTCTGTTCTTGAATTCTTTCTTGAAGATGACCAAAGACCAGTCTCCTGTAACAACACGCTAACTGAGAAAAATTCCCAGGGCTTGTTCACTGGTAACAGGCATTAAATCTGTCCCTAATGGACTGATAATAAAACTGCTTTTCACTGGCTTTGCTTCAAGTCCATCTCTAAGCTTTGGTACTCTGCAGTCCATAAATTTGAGAAGCAAACAAAATCAATTTAACCTGTTTTATTCAAGGAACCATTTTACTATTTTATTTCCTGCTCTGTTTTTGTTGACATATTTCCTATGTCAAACACATAAAAGCTGACCACCATACTAGGGACAACTGAAAAGATTTGAGACAAAAGTACAGAAATTTCATTAACTCTGGAAGTCTCAAAATGGCCACCCTTGAAAAATTAAACTTTATTTCTCTATAATGCCATCTGTTAATTAAAACCAAGTTAAAGCTAAACAAAGTATGCATCACCACATCTCTTCTCCTTTGCTGTCCAGATTCAAGCTCAAGGTCAAAAGATAAACAAAAATTTTTGCCCTTTCCCTTAATGCCCTTTGGTGCCAAGACTAGATAGACCCCAACCCTCCTTTTTAGCATCACATAGTTTATGGGAATGAATGCACCCCTTTCAATATCTGCCTTCTTTACCTGTTTCCATCAGGATATAAAAACCATAGAATGACTTGGGCTTCTTAAAACATTTCTCCTATCCATGGGAGTAAATGTTTCCTGGCTTAAGTCCTCACCTAGCTCACAACTCCTTATTTCTCATTGACACCTACAGCACTTTCTTTTGTACAGAAACCACTTGCAACTCCAGAGAAAGGAAATCCCAGGGCAAAAACCTTCTAAAACTGAAATCAGTCAAAGGGAGAAATAAAGTTTAAAACCTGTTTATTGCTTACAAACTGCAGTCTGGGGCCATCTCTTTCCTGCTAGGGCAGAAGCAAGCAAGCCCTCCCCCTAACCTCTCTGGTTTAGCTAAGCCCTTGGTTGCCCAGGTAATTACCCATTGATATGGATATGAACTACTTTATCCACCCCTGAGGAACGCTTGTTGATATGCAGATGCACTAAAGCTAGGTGAGATATTCTGGAAATATTACAATTTTACCCACACCACTGTACAGTTTTAAGTGTTGTTTTTAAAAAATAGCATTCTACATAGATTCCCTTTTTTGCTGTTGCTTGCTTTTTGATACTCAATTTGTTTTCTCTTCATTTATTTCAGCCAATTTTATTTTCAGCCATATATTGCATCACAAATGTTCCTAATTCATCTCTTCAATTGAATACCAAATGATTCACATTTTGATAAAATGTTTGTGAGAATATTTCTCACAAGTTCAGCTAGTATAATGCTTTTAAGTAAGCACAAGAATTTTAGCATCCTTGATAGTTTACTGAAATTAAAATGTACTATCATAATTTAGGGGCCTCAGGAGTTACTTCCTGTAAAAGCTGCCTGTTTTAAATCTTTGGAGAGTGTATTTTCCCCAGGCGCTATATTTGCAGCTCTTACTAAATTACCTGGTTGCCTGGATATTCTCTTCATCCAGGTGGAATAAAGCCACTAAACAAATCTCTCATAATCTCAGGTCCAGAACCCACAAACAAAGTAATGGGTATGAAGATTCTTTGATGACTGGCTCTGCTCTTTGGAGAGCATGTTATCATTATTTCAGTCTTTTCTTTTAAAAAAAATAGACGTCTCCTTTGATGTACTCCTACCAATAAACAAACAAAAACAAACAAAATTCCAATAAAATACCCCACAAAGAAATTCTACGTCTGCCACCAAAGAAAGTAATAAAAACGTTGTGAATGCTTACAAAGTCTGCACAAGGGGCCTTGAATAAATCATAAAAGAATCCTTTAATCCTGTAATTACAAATGGATTGAAAGGAGTTGCTTCCCAAGCCTGCTAATGCTCAGGGCAAGGACTATCTTTACTTCTGCTGAATCATCAGACTCAGATAAACAGTGGAATGTACCCTGAACTGAAAGGTGTAAAGGTGAATGCAAGTTTAAACAGGCTCATTGATTTTCCCCTCTGCTGAAAGGCAGAAAACAGTTGAGAATTTATCCTTTCCAAAAACCAGTTAATCCCAATTCGTAGTTCAGTTTTCATCACATTTTATATTGAGGGATTCTGTCAGTGATTCTTTTGACTCACAAGTGGACACAAGGACCCATGAATGTACTACCATCTATATTGTGTGCCAATGTCAAACTGGCCTTGAACCTGTAAATCCAAATTAATCAACAGTATTACTTTGGCAACAGGCAATCATACATTTAGTTGATGTCTGTAGCATGAGTACAGAGCTAGTGTGGAGAAAGTGAAGGTTCCTATGGCCAGGATTCTCACCTGGCCCTGGTCGGCTAGCTCACTACACACGTGTGGGCGATACGTTGTTACTGACTCTATATAAAGAGCCCCGTCCAGTGCTCTGAGCTGCATGGCTGCAGGAGAGCAGAGGCTGGAGTGGTGGCAGCACCGAGGACAAGAGACTGAGATGGCTTGAGGGGGCTGAGAGGCCCAGAGGCAGTGACCGGCTTGCTGCATGCAGCCTTGCTCTGAGAGGATGGGATTCTAGTGATTGACCTGCCACAGTGGAATAAAGTTGGGTACAAACTCTTTCACCCCAAGAACGTTCCATTGTCATTTTTTCAGTCTCACTGAATTCATAGTGAGCTTGTCCAGGGCTGAAACCCATTGGCAAGACAGCTAGCAATTCTCAGGTTGGACTACAAATCAAAATTAGGTTGTAGCTTAAAAGGAATACAGGTGCCTAAATTGTCCTAAGACAATGATTCAGAAAATGTGTGGTAGAGCCCAAGCAATTATATTTTCAAAAAGCTTTCCGAGTGATGCTGATGCAGTGGGGGTGGAGACTGTCACACAGGTACTGACATAAGAATACATTACAGGGTGCGGTGGGTTTGGTGCTTCTCACACAGGGACAGGAGACACAGGTGACTATTCAAATTCACACAAAGAAGTTTCTGCATCTTTCTGTAATGTCAAATTTTACTTGACAGGTAAGTAGTTTAAGATTTTAATTTGGGTAGGGGTTACACAGGTATTACCAATATTAAAACTCACTTAATATTTAAGATCCACACGTTTATTTTACCTCAATAAAAAAGTCATTTTTATATTAAAATATAGATACATTCTGGAGTAGAATGCACGATCTGCATTTATATTTTAGATGAATTCTGACACTTCAAAGAAACCTCCCTCTTGGGTGGGCTATCAGCTTCCTTAGGATAGGTTCCCACATGCAGGGAGGCAGCCATTTCACTCTCCCCTGCTTGGGGTTGGGATTAGGGCTTGAAATGCAGGGGGAAAGGCCTTTTGGGAGGGCCGGAGCCTACAGTTTGAAAATCTCTGGATTTAGAAATCCTTTCACAAATCTGTTCATTCATTTCATTAGCCATCACCCACCTCCCTCTCTTCTCTGTCTTTACCTTACACATATTACTGGTCTTTTTGCTTTCAAAACACTCCAAATTCTCAAAAAACGTAAGTTCCACTTTCTGTTGTGGAGATTTTATTAGTTCCTGAGCAGTTGGGTTAATGACCCTGAAGCCATGGCTCTGAAATCCCACTTTGCAAACATGTTTTTCACTCAAAAATGTGTTTATCAGCTGCAGGGCTAGTGGTGGACTGGAACTGAATCTAAGAATTATGAAAACCCACATTTCCTGACTTTGGAAGGACAAGAGTGGAGAGCTAGGTGTCTCCTTTGCTTGCCATCTCGGTGTCCTCATGCACATACGGGGGTAAAGGGTACACGTCCCCTTACGGATTTAATTAACTTAAACTGAACGGATTGCAAAGCCACAAAGTTATGAAAGCACAAATCAAAAAGCGTGTAAACTCAAACCTAGAACCCGAGGGGGCGGAGGGGGGGGGCGAAGGCACGACACCGCGCGCAGGAGACGAGTTGGCACAACGCCGGGCGGGCCAGCCCCCCTCCGCGGGGCCCTCTTGCCCCCCCGGCCCCCGGCCCCGGACGGTGCCCCGGCGCAACTCGCTCTCCGCGGCCCCGACGCGCGCGGGTCGGCGACCTCCGCCGGGCGCCTCCGGGGCTCAGCCTCTCACCTGCTCGGCGCAGGCCGCCGTCCAGCGAGTCCCGCCTCCTTCTGACACGACCCAGCGAATGGACCGGCCAGGCAGAGGGCTCGGTCCTGATTGGCGAAAAGGGGTTCACGTGCCCGCCGCCCGGGCGCGCACTTTGGCCCCGCTCCTCCCGGCGCAGAGGCTGGCGGCCGTCCTCCCGGCAGTCCGAGGCGGGGGCCTGCAGCCGGCGCGTGGCCGCCCCGGGGTTTCTTCGGCACGGTGCGACCGCGAGTGCCCTGGGCTCTCTCGTGGGAGATGTCTGACAGGAGTGCGGAGCGCGGCGACGGAAACGAGACGGTGTCTGGCGCTGAGGTTGTCGCCCAGGCCCTGAAAACGCAAGTACGGGCACCCGGCCGGGAGCGGAGGCTCCTACGGAAGCCGGCGGGGCAGACGCGTCGCCTTGGCGGCTGGGCTGGCGGTGGGCGGGGCAGAGGCGTCCCCTGGGATTCCCCGGGCGCTTACTCCCCGCTCTGTCCCCAGGATGTGGGGTACATGTTTGGCATCGTGGGCATCCCAGTGACCGAAGTAGCCGCCGCCGCCCAGAAGCTGGGCATCCGATACGTCGGGATGAGGAATGAGCAAGCGGTGAGTGTGGGCGCTCCTGGGAGTGATGGGTGTAACGGCGGACACTTGCTGCAGGCCCTCAGCTCTTACCGTTGTTCTGGTGCCTCACACATAAGTTACAGAGCCCTGGGGCAGGAACCATGTTAGTGTGCTTGGCAGGTGAGACGCCGAGGGTGAGTGACTCGCTGAGGCGGCAGCTGATGGTGGCAGATTCGGGGTTTGAGCCCCAGGGGATCTGGGTCTGGAGGCATGCTCCCAGCGCTGTGCTGTATCTGGACAGGCTCTGCCAAGTGCAGAGCGTCAGGATGCGAAGGTACACTTCCTGGTGTGAATCGGCCCCGTCTCCTTCCCTCTCGTAGGTATCTGTTAGTATGTGTCTGTTTCTGTGTATTGCCTGTCCAGTCTGATTTCCCTGTTAGGCTGTGAGCTCCAGGAGGGCAGGGACATTATTTCTTCTTGACATATCTGCATCTCCAGGGCCCAGGGCCTGCATGTGACAGGTGCTCAGGGAGTACCTGTGAAATGAATGGGTGAAGGCCAAGTGTCCTGTAGGTGGCCCTACAAGGTGAAGGACATCACAAATGGTAGAGCCATGGCTAGAACTCAGGTGTCTTAAATATCAGGCCAGTGCTCTTTCCACCACATCACTGCTTAACAGCTTCCTTAGAGGCTTATTTGGAAGCATGACCTTCAAAAGAATACATTTGTCAGCCCAGTCTCAGTGCTTCCCCTGTTAACCCAGCATTGACCTTCTTTTAGCAATTATGGCCTAAAAAATCAAGAATCCACTTCTGCAATGTCATATCCTGTCAGCCCATCTAAAACTTAACTCCTCTGCCTTCCATTCCCACTGCTGCTCTCTAATTCAAGCTCTGCCACCTCTTGCCCAGACAGCTGCGTTGACCTCCTAAAATGGTGCCCTTCCTCTGCTGTCAAATGTAGGCTCCCAGAGAGCAGGAATTAAGGTTTCTTGGTTATATCCCCACAGTGTCTGGCTTTGTTAGGACTTTTGCATGATATACTTGCTTTCTACATTTTTTATTTATCAGTGACATTATTAAGATTTGAGAGTTGTATTTTTTTTAGATCTTAAAATAACGTCTTGAGTTTGTGTTGTTTCTACCTTGTACTTTTCTTAGTTGGAACAACATTCTGTTCTTTTATCTGTGTGAAAATATGAAGCTATTGACCTACAAATGGAACTTACATTTTACTGCTTTTCTAGAGGTGGATTGTCTTGTGTCTTCTTCCCCAGCAAATATTTATTGAGTACATACTGTGTATCAGATACTGTGTACATAGCCTGTGGGCGATATAATGAAGGAATTCCATTTAATCTTGATCTTCAAGATCTTCATAGTCTGGGAAGACAGAGCAAGACACACAGGAAAAAACTTAGTATAAACTCATAATAGATATATGTGTAAGGAACAGTACATGGAAACGGTGACCAGTTCTTGTTGAGTGGGACACAGATTGCCCTTAGAAGCAATGTTTGTTTGTGCTATTCTATCACAATAACATAAAGGCCTAGTGGGATGTGAAACTGGATAGGTAGGCCAAGGGGAGGTTGTAGACAGTCTGCAGCTGGGAAAGGGGTAATGACTTTTCAGTAGGCATTGAGTGAGACTGTAAAGGTCTTTCCAAGTAGGTGGGAGACATAATTAGATTTTTAATTTAGAAAAATGATTTTCTTGGTAGTATAGTGTATGGGTTTTTATTTCAGTCCCTAAGCTTAGTTGAGGGCCTTGTTAGGTCCCAGGTGCTTTATTGGGCACTGGATATGCATATGAGTGATACACAGTTCCTGTCCTTAAGGGGCTTATAATCTAGCTGTGGAGATAGACACAAATAGACAATTTTATTATAATGTGGTAGGTGCTGTGATAGATATATCCAGAGTGCTATGGAAACCCAGAAAAGGGTACCCAACTCAGCCTAAGACTTCAGGGAAGGTTTCCTGGAGGAGATGATGCCTATCTTGAAGAATGAGTAGGCATAACCAGGTAGGAAGGAGAGGGCAAGCTCTTCTGGAGATGATTCCTAGTTTGAGCTTGCTTGACTGGATGGATCATAGTGCCACTGACCCAGATCGGGAATACAGAGAGAAGAGCTAATTTGGAAGGAAAAGGTAATAAATTCAAATCTAGACATGATGAGTTTGAGGTGCCTGTAGGACATTCCCAGCACATAGGTCCCTGAGTCAGCCTGACTTTGCAGTAGTCAAAGACTTCACTAGTGCCTGAACAAAAGGGTAAAGACAGGATGGTTAAGAGAGAATGTGAGAACTGGTTCAGAAGCCATTCTAGAGGCTGTAGACGGCTTGGCATGTTCATACTACAGAGAAAGGTGCAGTTCGGTTGTGACTTGATTGTCTTCATGAGATCCTGAGAGTAATCAAGACATATGCTAACCAGTATTCCAGGAAATAGGCAGACTGTTAGGAATTTGTTACTGAGAGCCTACTGTGTACAGGCAATATTGTGAGTGTTTTACATGTATTAACTGATTTCACCCTCACAGCAGTCTGTGAATCCTGTTCATTTTATAGATGAGGAAGCTAGGGTCCAGAATAACTTGCCAAAATTTCACAGCAGAAAGTAGGGGAGCTGGGATTTAATCAAAGGAGGTTGGTTCCAGAGTTTCCTTTCTTAAGTATTACAAACATTGGTCTGCCTGTAAATGGAGGTAGTTTGGTTAGAGAAATAGCTTTTTTTATTGTCTTAAAACCAGTTCCTGTTCAACTTTTGATATCTACACCAAAGGAATATAGTTGTTATATATTGTTTTGTATTTTGCATTCTGCAGCAATATTTCTTACCCTGCTTTAATAAGTGGACAGTGCTTCTATGTGTCCACATAAGTGTTCTTATCACAGCAGATATTATATATTTTATCCACTTGGATTTCTTAGTTGTTTTCTTAGTATTGTCCTTTGTGAATTTGGCCTTATAGACAAAAGGGAAAAGAGAGAAGGACCAATAGAGAATAGCAACACAGAAAAAGTACCTTTGTGGAACTTCTTAGTTGGGTGTATGGTAGTAATGCCAGTTAAGATTATGACTCATAAAAACTTATTTTCAATTTTTCACACCTTGTCCTTAACATGGATTTATGTAAGTTCAGTCTACCACATATAAAGTTGAATGAAAGTTGGAAAACACTCAATTTATTGTTATTTCTTAAAAATTGAGAAGAAATAACACTGAAAAAACGATGTTCCAAACTAAGAAAAAGTATTTGTTTGAGAGGGCATTTAGCATTTTTCCAGGTTGTCTTCTATTTGATTTAGCACCTCCCCTCTCTTCCTGTTATGAACTGAAGTGCAGTTTAAAAGTAAAGACCGTATACTGGTCACCAAGGAAATCTCAACAAATCTCCAAGGATTGAAAACATACAGTATAGGTAATCTGACCTTGTGGAAATAAACTAGAATTCAATAACAAAAAGATAACTAGAAAATCCCCAAACATTTGAAGATTAAATAACACATTTAATACTTTTTAAATATTTTTAAAGATTTATAAACTCAATAAACTTCAGGAGAGGCTGGTCAAGAATGAAAGGGAGAAAATACAAATTACTAATATCAGGAATGAAAAAGGACCCTAATTAACCAATGAGTTGAAGAACAAATCACAATGGAAAATAGGAATTATTTTGAATTGAATGATAATGAAAAGATGACATATCAAACTTGTAAGCTATAGCTAAAACAGTTTTTAGAGGAGATAGTTTTTTTGTTTATTAAGGTATCATTGATACACAATCTTATGAAGGTTTCACAAATGAGCAACATTGTGGTTACTACATTCACCCATATTATCAAGTCCCCCCCACACACCCCATTGCGTAGTCACTGTCCATCAGCGTAGTAAGATGCTCTAGAGTTGCTACTTGTCTTCTCTGTGCAATATAGAGGAGATAGTTTTAAGTGAATCTGTTAGTGATCAAAAACCAATACTCTAAACTTACGTTTTAACAAGCTAGAAAAAGAAAACCAAATTAAACCCAAAATGAAAGGAGAAAAATTGTAAGTACAAGAGCAAAAATCAGTGGAATAGAAAATAAATGAACAATAGAGAAAAATCAACAAAGCCACAAATTGATTCTTTGAAAAGATTAATAAGTTTGGTAAATACTTAGCAAGACTGCTGAAAAATAAGAGAGGAAACACAAATTACCACTATTAGAAATAAAAAAGGATATTCTTATTGATTCTGCAGATACTTAAGCAAGTATAAGAGGGTATTATTAATGAACTAGATGAGATGGACAAATTTTTTTAAAAACTATCAATTAGATTTGGTAACTAAACCATTATTTGAAATTTACAGGTAGAACATTATTTATTAAAATGGAAAGTATTCTACTTCCTCCTTTACCATTCAGTTCCAGTCTCTTACTTAATAGAATATTATATAAGTGCTCACTATAAGAATTCCAATATGCTTAAGTCTCAGTGTTTTTTCTTTGTAGGCTTGTTATGCTGCCTCTGCGATTGGATATCTGACAGGCAGGTAAATTAAAGTCTATGTGTTACTTCAGTTCTTCTGAAGGCTGTCTTAAACAGAGGTTCTTAAGAAACTACCTTGTAAATATAAAATGGCAAGCTGAATTATATGGAGATACCTTTTCCTTGAGTGCTTTAAACTTAGAAAGTCCCATCTAGGGTAAAGCATTCAAATTCGATTTTTAAAAATTGGGGCACAACATTACATTTCAGAATTACTTTTTGTCAGAGGTCAATTGACATTACATTTACTTATTAAGAAATTTAAAAAAAACACTTTCCATATAAGTGTACTCAGCATGAAACATTCGTTTCTGTATGCAGTTAAATTGATTTAGCCCAAATAGAACATCTTCAAAATATGAAGAGGTTGGTGAAATACAATATGAAAGTGATAGTTAACCTTATTTCTTATAGGAAGACTGATACAGTCTTCCTTGTTTTTTTCTAATTCAAAAAATATTCTAGTAATTGCTTTACTAATTATAGTATGGACTTATAAATCCTTTCTTTTAAGTCTGAGAAAGTAGCCTTGATTCACCCTAAGTCATGAATCAGGTAATGTATTTGATGTGCTTTTAATAAAACACATTACGTTTTGCTTCTAGGCCAGGAGTATGCCTTGTTGTTTCCGGCCCGGGTCTCATCCACGCGTTGGGTGGTATGGCAAATGCAAACATGAACTGTTGGTAATTAGACTGTTACTATTGAAAAAAATTTCCTTAAAAATGCCAATGCATGATATGTAGTAGAGCAACAACTGATCTGGGGTGGGAACACTTGGAATCAAGTGCTTGAGGGAATGGCTTAGAAAAAAAATGAATTAGGAAGAATATTAGGAAGAAAATAAAACATCAATAATTCCTTTACCTTGGGATAAAAACTGTTTGGAGTTTTCATAATTATTTGTCTCTATATATGTGAGTGGTGTATAATAGTTCTCTGTAAGTGAAGAATTATTTTTTAAAGATTCCTGCTCAATATGTAAGAATGTGTCTAGTTTTTCATCTTCATAATGACCAAGACAATTTAAATTCGTATATTAATTGAGTTTGCTTTATAAGCTGATGATTACTTATTCCTTGACATTGCCCTTAATCTCATCTCTGCTACTTTACCAATAAGAACAAGTTAAACGGGGTTATGTTCTAATGAATTTGTGAAATACTTAATCTTCCTAAAGGACATTGTTTTCTTTCTTGCCATGTTTCTTACAATTCCTTTTTTCCTTCCCTCCCTCCTAGTCTTCCTCTTTCTTCTCTACTTTCAGGTCTGATCTTTTTTGAGTAACTTTAGGTTTGCTGTATCTTTTTTCCTCCTTGAAGGATACAGATTTTATTAGTAAAGAATTTCTCTCATTCTGCCATTTCCAAATAGACTCAGTCAAGTGTAAAAAAAAAAAATTTCTGCTCTTAATCCCAAGAATAATAGGAAGGGGATAAACATTCATTTTCATATCAACATACCTGGAGGTTTAGCATCATCATTCCCAAGGGGAAGGATGGAGGAAAAACATACAACTGTGCATTTCAGACTTTCCTGAAATTGAAGAAGAGTTCTTAACATCAGTTTGCTTTGTAAATCTTCTTTAATGTGCAGTTTTTAAGGGAAAATGTAATTCTTTCTCTTTTTTTAAACACTCAGTAAGTGTTATTCATTGGACACTGTGGAGTATTTTACATGTTGATACCATTCATAATTCTCTTTTTAAAAAATGAACATTTCAGGCCCTTGATTGTGATTGGTGGTTCCTCTGAAAGAAGTCAGGAAACAATGGGTGCCTTCCAGGAGTTTCCTCAGGTACCCACTCTAAATTTTTCTTTTCATAAGTATAATCATTAAGATTTATGGAGAAGAAAGAAAAACTCCTATCTGCAAAATAAACAAAATAAAATAGAGCTACCTGAGGTAATTTAAAGGTAACTTTTCTCAACTAAAAGACAATCTCAGCTCCTAAGAAAACTTAGGCTCTGCTTAGGAGTACTCTTCTAAGAAACCCACCTTTTTGACAGGCTATGAAACTCTGAAAAATAACTTCTTTAAAAAGTCAAGATATAGGAATAAAAAATGGTTTGGAACTAGGCCACTCAGACTTCAAAGTAAGTAGTAAAAAGTTATAAGTAGTAAAAAATTGAGAGGAGAAATCTTATTTAAAATGAGTATCATTATGGACCTAGAGGGTATTTTGCTAAGTCAGACAGAAAAAGACAAATACCATATGATTTCATTTACATGTAAAATCTAAAAAACAAACAAAACAGATATACTCATAGTTCTGAAGAGCAGACTGGTAGTTGCTGTAGGAGAGGGAAATCAGGTGAAATAGGTGAAGGAGGAAAGTTAATGAGAATATTTGATATATTGATCTGGGTGATGGTTACATGAGTTATATTCATATAAATGTCGAAATTCATCTAGCTGAACACTAAGATTTGTACATTTTATTGTATGTACCTCAATATAAAAAATAAGGTTTTTTAAATAAAAGCAGAAAATGATTCAGTAGACTCTGGACAAGTTCATTTATTTAAAATGCTAATTTTAAGAATAGTAGAAAGCAAATAGGTAAGAGTGAATGATTAACACTTAAGACATGAATATATTTGAGCATTTAAGCACAAAGTTATGAGCAAAGTTAAAACCATTAGGCAAAGTGTTGGTAAATTGGGAATGATTGTGAAAACTTCAAAATATAAACATAGGATATTATATATGATTTAAACTAATATAAAGTAGTAGATCTTGATATATGTTGATGCAAAAGCTACATTTTTACACTATTGAAGGGAATTGAAGTTTTACTTAGTTAATGGTAAAGAATAACAATTATTTTAAAATGCTGCTCTATTTAAAAAGTAGAGCAGATAACTTATTTAAAAGGAAATTTAAGGTTACTACAAAAACTGTGGATGAAAGAGAAAGCAGAGGATAATGTTCATTACAAATATTTTTGCCTAAAAGGAAAATAGAAGTTTATTAGATGAAATTAAAAATTTGAAGAGAAACATAATTGATTTGATTTAAAATCCAACTATCTGTTTCTTGTGGAAATACTTTATATGACATGACCAAGAACAGACTGAAGATTGTAATTCTATCATGCTTGTGGGACTAAGATTTCCAGCTGCTTCACCGATTTAAAAGAATATCAAGAGAAACAGTTTCTGTATAATGTTTCAGAGAACAATAAACCATGAAAACTTAACACTATTGAATTTATATGTCCCAAACAGCATAGCAAAAAAATATGTAACAGGCAGAAGTATAAGTGTAGATTGTAATTGTAATAAGATGTAGCAGATAAAATTGTATATTCCTGGCTGTGAAATTTTTGGGTCAAAGGATATGCTCATTTAAATTTTTAGTTGTCAGCTTGGCTTCCCATTTATACTCTGACCAACAGTTAATGAGAGTGTCTGTTTCCCTGTTGTAGATACTGAGTTTTATTTAACTTTTTCATTTTTGCCAATCTGAAGTATGAAAATGGCATCTTGTTTTGATTTGCTTCTTGACTCACACTAAGGCAGAAATTTGATTGTGCTTGCACAGACTTTTAAGAAACAGTCCAGTTAATGTATTTTCTCCTCTTTTTTCTAAGTATAATAGAAAGTAATGACTTGACATTTTGTCTTCCTTCAGAAGAGGAATATGACCTGTGAGCTCAATTTTAAGTGATGCTCTTTTTGCATATAGGTTGAAGCTTGTAGATTATATAGCAAGTTCTCTGCCCGGCCGAGCAGTGTAGAAGCTATTCCTTCTATTATTGAAAAGGTAAAGTATTCAATTACAGGCTCTCCAAATAAACTGGTTTTTCTCAGTTACTCATACCTGTGTTTTTTTTTGTTCTCAATAGAATGAGTAACAATTTGGAATATTCTCAGGCAGTTAAAAATGATATTTAAGTTAGAGATATTTATGCTTTAACATTTGCTGCCATTATATTTGATAATAAAAACATATATAAAAACTAAGTTTATTTTTGAGATAAGATAAACAAAAAAAAATAAAATTATTTTGTTAAAAGTTTCCCTTTAATTAAAACAATGTCTTTAATTATGGAAAAGTAGGAAGAATACACTGAAACTCTCTCTAGGTACCCTTTCTCTTATACTTTTGCAAAAGATTATTTTTGAAAATTAGTACTAATGCACAGAAGACCATCTCTTAGTTGATTAAACAGCATATTATAAATTAATTTTAGTTAACAAACATTTATATGTGAGGTTATATTTGAGCTGTTTCAAAACCATGTGTTCTAGAAACCATTTGACACATTACAACATCAGTTTCTGATGTTTGCCAAATCATTAGGATTATGAAGCAGGTCAAAGTACATGTCACAGAGTACAAACTTAGCAGGGAAAAGCCTAGTGAATAATTTCTAAGATTAAAGTATAATAGAACATGAATTTTTAAGCCCTAAGTGAGTATTTTCTTTATCTTTTTTAAAATAAAATATCTTTAAAAATGTATAGAATCAATAGGGGGCTTTACAATTTTAATTAAAACTGTTTATTTCTCCAAATAAGGATGTCCAGAGAAGTTAAAATAGTGTCCATTTCAGAATTTTAAATTATCTTTGAACAGAATATGATAATAAGGATTGAGATTTTGAAAATATTTTCTTGTATTTGTAATAAATTAAGGCAGTGAGAAGCAGTATTTATGGTCGTCCAGGTGCTTGCTATGTGGACATATCTGCAGATTTTGTGAACCTCCAAGTGAATGTGAATTCTATAAAGTGAGTAATAGTTATACTGGAGCTTTTTCTAATTGTGTAATCATAATGTTTATCTTTTTAAAAGAATTTACCTAGCAGTTTATAGGTTAATCTTCATTTGTCTTAACTTTTTTGACAGTTCAGTGGTTAAACTAAATCATAGCCAAAGAGCTTAAATTTTCTTAATTAAAATGGTAATATTTAGTAATTATTAGGGGCTTGATTACTAAATCAAATACTTGGAGCTTCCTGAACTCCTCATTTGAAATTATTCTTCCAGTAGCCACAAATAATGTATGCTCATTATTTGGAGTCTTCATAATATAAACCAAGAGATGAAGTAACTTGAAAAATTATTAGGACTCAGCATAAAAAATTTTGTCTGTCACTTTTCCCTGTGATTTAAAAATATTCTAACACAGATGTTACTGTAATTTGCCATGTTCCCTTATTCCTGAAATAAACACTGAGTGAATGAAAAATACAAGAAACATTTTTCACTGGTATCTAAGTCACGCTTGGTAAGGATAGCACTTGGGTTAATGCATCATCCTGAGTACCAGGTAACACATCCCTGCTGTTGTGGAGACAGTGGGCATTTCTGTGTACTTAGTATACCAAGGAGTGGTTTCTGTCTGCTAAAGTCAGACAAAAAATTCATACACTGTACAGAATTCCTGAATGTGATAATCAGAACAGTATTACTGGGGGGAAGGAGGGACAGATAAGCCTTAGGTTAAGCCTGTCAGTCTTCTTTAAAATTTTTGTAAAGATTGAATGTCTTTTTTTTATGTTCAAGTTTTGTATAGTATGATGTTTATTAATTAGAATAAGTGAAATAAAGCACTGAGGACTTGATGTCCAGAAATAAACTTAACTATCACAATTCCAATATTTCTTTTACTAATGCATATTGTGGTAGTAAAATATTCACTTATACAGTGAGTGGAAATATAGTGAGGAACTTGAAAGCATGGAGACCGAATGACCTAGTTCAGTCCAGTCTCTGCCACATGCCATCTGAAGACCGTGGGCAAGTTACTTACTGAGTTTTTTCCCCAGTGGTGAAATGGAGATAACAATAGCATCTAACCTCATGGTTCTGAAAACTAACATTAAATGGCACATAGTAAGTATTAAGTATTAGCTCTTAGTATGTTTTTTACTAACATTACAACAACAGCTACTGCTACAGTGTGAAGCCGTTAACTCAAAATTTGTGTCCATGAATTATTCATTTGACTGACTAGTAGGTAGCATCAGAGAATAACTGTTAATCTAGAAATGATAAGGCTATTATGGTTATATAGAAGAAAGTCTTTATTTTTTAGACATGCATGGAGAAGTTTATAAGTCTTGATGACTAATTTACTTTAAAATGTTTCAGGGAAAAAATTTATATGCATATCTGTATGGATTGCGTGAAGCAAATGTGGTAAAATTATATTGTTCAATCTATATGGAGTTTATTGCACTACTTTTTCTATTTCTACCTTTTTATATATTTTCACAATAAAAAATTTTAGAGTTGGCTACTTTTAATTGACCTAATCGTATTTACAGGTACGTGGAGTGCTGCATGCCACCTCCTGTTAGTATGGCAGCAACCTCTGCTGTGTGTCTGGCAGCATCTGTTATTAGGAGTGCCAAACAGCCCCTAATTATCATCGGGAAAGGTAGCTATGAATGGAACTCTAAATCTTGCTAGGCTTTCAGAAGAATGCTGATTGTGTTTTTTTTTATTGAAGTATAGTTGATATACAATAATATATTGGTTTCAAGTATACAACATAGTGATTCGACAGTTCTCTACATTATTAAGTGTTCACCCTAGTAAGTGTAGTTACTATCTGTCAACATTGAAAGATGTTATAGAATTATTGACTATGTTCTCTATGCTGTACTTCCAACCCCTGATGATTAGTAATGTTGAGCATCTTTTCATATGCCTGTTGGCCATCTCTGTGTCTTTGGAAAAATGTCTATTCAGGTCCTCTGCCCATTTTTTAATTGAGTTAATTTTTTAATTTTTTGGTTTGAGTTGTGTGATTTCTTCATTTGGATATTAACCCCTTATTGGATATATCATTTGCAAATATATTCTCCCATATCATAAGTTGCATCATTTTGTTGATGGTTTCATGTCTTATATTTAGGTTTTTAATCCAGAGTTTACTTTTGTGTATAGTGTTAGTGATTCAGTTTCATTCTCTTGCATGTAGCTGTCCAGTTTTCCCAACACCAGTTACTGAAGAGGCTGTCTTTTCCCCATTGTATGTTCTTGCCTCCTTTATCATGTATAAATTAACCATATATGTGTGGGTTTACTTCTGGACTCTATTCTATTCCATCAATCTTTGTGACTATTCTTGTGCCAGTACCATATTGTATTTATCACTGTTGCTTTGTAATTTAGCTTGAAATCAGGGAGCAGGATACCCCCAGCTTTGTTCTTTCTCAAGATTGCTTTAGCTATTTGGGGTTTCCTGTGGTTCCATATAAATTTTAGGATTATTTGCTCTAATTCATAGAAAATGCCATTGGAATTTTGATGGGGATTGCATTAAATCTAAATTGCTTCAGGCAGGATGGCCATTTTGACAGTATTCTATCGATGAACAAGGGATAGCTGAGAATGCTGATTCTGTTTAGAAGTTGTCTTCATTATTTCTTAACATCTGCTCTAATGTTCAAAATTGGAGTAAGTTCTTTTCATCTTTTTACCATGATTTATTAGTTTTGAAATCATAGAATTATTCTAGAATGCCTGGAGATCTTGTTCTTTTAAAGATTATCACTGATTAAATTTCTTTGGCCTTATGAGTAAGATGTGTCTTTTTCCATTATAAAAATAATACTTAATCATTACAAAAACCTTTGGAAAATCTAAAGGTCAGAAAGAATCTCTTCATCCAAAGACAACTATTTTTAACATTTTGCATGTACATTTTATATATTGTGATGATGCGATATAGACATATATACAGAACTATTGCATTCTTAACCTATTAAAATAACAAAGATAAAAACCATAGTCACAATTTGTTTTTGAGTTTAAGCCCTGTATAAGCAAGAGAATAGGTAACAAGTTCTAAAAGCAATTTCACATTAGCTCTTTTAAGGGTCCCAGGTGCCTGGAGCATAACTGCCTTGTCTGATACATTTCCACTTCTTACAGGTGCTGCTTATGCCTGTGCTGAGGAGAGTATCAAGAAATTGGTAGAGCAATGTAAATTGCCATTTTTGCCCACCCCCATGGGCAAGGGTGTTATCCCTGATAACCATCCAAACTGTGTAGGTGCTGCCAGATCTAGGTACGTGGCATTCCAACTCTTAAATACAATGGCTTGTCTGATTTTAGACTAATTTGAATTATTTTGTGACTTTAATGAGTCTAGCATAAGTTCTGAAAGAGTCATGTAATTTTAACCGTACCTGGCTTTTTTAGACTTTTCGGCACTTTAAAGATATCATACACTATCTTCTGACCCTCATGGTTTCAGATGAAACATTTGCAGTATTTTGAATCATTTCCCTGTATATAATATGTTGTTTGGCCACTTTCAAGTTTTACTTTATTTTTGGTTTTCAGCAGTTTCATTATGGTGTGTCTGGACGTGTTTTTCTTTCAGTTTATCCTGTTTGGGGTTCTCCAGTCTTCTTGAATCTGTAAATTTATGTCTTTCACCAAATTTGGAATGTTTTTGGCCATTATTTCTTCAAAACTGTTTTTCTATGTCAATCTCTTTCTTCTCTCCTGGGATAACACAGATTTTGATATTTTCCCATAGGTCTTGAAAATCTTTTTTTTTTTCAGTCCTTTTGTCTATTTTCTATATCCCTGCTGAAAATCTCTATTCTCCCATTTGTTTTAAGAGTACTTTTGTCTGTCTTATGCAGTATAGTTAATAATAGCTGCTTTAAAATCTTATTTACTAATTCCAACATCTCATCATTGTAGAACTGGCATCTATTCATTATCTTTTCTTTTGAGAATTGGTCACATCTTTCTTGTTCTTTGTATATTGAATAATTTTGGGTTGTTAGATAACAATCTAGATAGATTTTTGAATATTATATTGTGAGATTCTAGGTCATGTTAAAATCTTCTGTAGAATATTGATTTTTATGTTAGTTCAGCAAGTAGTCACCCTGGTTCAGACTGCAAGTCCTGTCTTTCTTACTGTGGGTGGCACTCCCAGGGTCAGCTCAGGTTCAGAGCCCTTGCGGTGGTCCTTCAGGCCTGCGCACACATGCTCAGCCCAGGCTGAGGCTGCACACGGGCTGGTCCACACTGGGAGGAAGAGGTTTCCTCTCTCTTCCCTTTAGGATGAACCCCCACCACTACAGCCTGCCCAGTCCAACCCTGCCACACACACACACACGGTTTCCAGGAGCCCTTTTCCTGGCCCCTGCTGCTGCCTTCTAGAACCACACAACTGGGGTTGCCTTTGGGGCAAAATGGCAGAAAAAAGAAAGATGAAAGATAAAGGAGATTGTCATCATACCCTTCAGACCACAGGAGTCCCTTTTCCCAGTTCTTCTTGCCCAAAAAATTAAGTTTCTTTAGGAATTTTAGCTCCGTGGGAGCTACCACAGTGCAGCTGTGCTGCCCTCAGAGCATGATAGGGAGAGAAAGGGAAAAGCAGAAGATCTGAGCTTTCCACCATGTCAGCCTGTAGGGGCCCTGGTCCTGATCACCTGGCCAAAGAGGCAAAGTTTCTCTGCAAGTGTTTGCTGTGCTGAGTCAAAGTCAGGAGATGAAAGCGGGGGAGTGGGGGTGGGAGGGGCAATATCTTGGAAATTCACACTGTGCGTGGGCCACTCCACTGACTCCCCTCACCAACCCACCCACTACTGTTTGCTCTTTAGAATCCTCAGGTAGTTGCTTTTTCTGTTCTGTTGAGTTTTCTGTTATAATCAGTTGAAGAGCTAGGCTGAGGTGGGCTTACCCAATATTGGCTGGCACTAGAAGTCAGTCACCTCTTAGATTTTTAAAACATTTTTTAATTTCTTGAAATTTCTTTATTATAAAATATTCTAAATATGCAAACAAAAAGAATAATTCAATGAACACTTAAGTAACCACCACTCAACTTTATCAAATTTAATGTAATATTAAGTAATATATTGTTGCATTAGGGTTTTTTTCTATTTTTAAGAATCAAAAAATTACAGATTCATTTGTAGTTCCCTGCATGTCTTTACTGATTTCATTCCCTACCTCTCCAAAGGCCACCACCATTATTCATTTGGTTATTTTCTTATTTTCATGCATGCAGTACATTTAATTTTGAGGGTTTTCAAAATGTAATGTTTGTTCATTTAGTTCTGTCTTAGTAGATTGTACCTTAATCTATATAGTATAGATTATACCATTTACTTATTTTCTATATTAGTATACATTGTACAGTAACCAAATTAAATTTTACACATTAAGGTTTTTTATAAATATATTTTAGCTTGGGTTGAGCTGAAGTTTATCTTTGTTCCAGCTGAATTTTAAGAAGGTAATCTTAATGATATGAATAGTGTAAAAAGCTTGCAGCGAGCTATACATAATTGTATCAACAATTCCAAGGGTTTTAGAGTATCAGTAAGCAAATCTATCCTTCCATTGCAGTTTTTATCTGTGTTAAATTGGGTCCCCCAGGACCAGTACAGTTGACCTGTGACAACATGGGTATTGGAGGGCTGACCTACAGTCAAAAACCTGTGTATGACTTTGACCTCCCCCAAAACTACTACTAATAGCCTGAATACACAAACAAGAACAGAGACCAGGAACCTTACCAATAACATAAACAGTCGATTAACACATATTTTGTGTGCTCTGTGTATTGTATACTATATTCTTATAATACAGTAAGCTGGAGAAAAGAAAATGGTTTTTCAAATTGTTGCAAATCTCCAAAAATTTTTTCCAATATAATTATTGAAACAAGTCCACATATAAGTGGACCTGCACAGTTCAAATTTGTGTGGTTCAGGGGTCAACTATGTATGAAAATGCTTTTTTGAGTATATACTTGAAATAACTGAATTTCTGTGAAAAATAGCAACATCACCGAAGAAGACAAAAGTGAAAAAATAGATCCTCCATGGTAAAAGATAGGAAAAAAATGGAAACAGTCAAGAAGCAGAAATTGAGAAGTAAAAAAAAAAAACCTCCAAAGCAATTATAATAAACTGTCCTGGAAAAAGGCAGAGACATTACTGTTTGGACCAATAATAATGAGTTACATATATGCATTATAAGAGCAAAGATGTATGAGGTAAAAACAAAACAAGGGTGGCTACATTAGCATCAATGTGGATATCAAAGTAAAAATCATTTTGAAACACTGAAAGTTATATTTATTGACAAAGGTATTAGGATATGTAATATAAAGCTATTAGAAATATGCTCAGTATAATACTTTTTTAAAGCAATTTGGGACTATGAATCAGTTTTCTTTTAAAATCAATATGAAGTATTGCATTAAAATTCAGGCATAAAGATGTACAACAACCCAATACTGTTAAAAACAAATTATTCAGCAATTGAGAAAAGGCGAAATAAATTTGGTATATGTGTTCAGCAAAATATTTAGCCTTTAAAAATTGTATTTAAGGAGAACTTAATGACAGAGGGAAAGAAACATTTATAGTAAGCAAACATACATGAGACATTATTGCAGAATATAAGCTTAACTATGTAAAAATATACTTGCATAGAAAAAAGCCTAGTTGAGAATATGCCAGGTTATTAATAATAGTTTATAAGTTGATAATATTACTGGATGGTTTTTTTTCTTTATACTTTTTCTGTTTTTTTCCAGATTACCTGCAGTGGATTTGTATTGAATTTTTTAATGATAAAAAGTAATAAGTGATGAAATAATTTTAGATACAGTTTTATAGTAGTATTTTTCTACTTATTTCATCTTTTAGATTACTGTTTAAATAGAATAGCTTCATAAATTATTTTAGTTTGAAATACAGATTTACCCTAGAAGCTGATCTTTTTATTTATTTATCATTTTATGTCCTCGAAGTATAGTTGATAAACAATAGCTTTTGGTTTAAGTATACAGCATAAGTGTTTTGACAGTAATCTATATTATTACTCACTCACCCCAATGAGTGAAGTTACTGTTAACATAGAAGAATGTTACAAAATTATTGACTGTGTTCTCTATGCTGTACTTTCATCCCCATAACTAACTTATATTATGAGTGAAATTTTGTGTCTCTTTATCACCTTCATCTATTTCACCTGCCCACCCCAACCCCTTCCCCACGGTAACCACCAGTCACTTCTCAGTGTCTATGAGTCTATTGTTCTTCTGTTCATTTTGTTTTGTTTTGTTTTTAAATTTCACATGTAAGTGAAGTCATATGGTGTTTGTCTTTCTCTGCCTGGCTTATTTCATATAGCATAATACCTTCTAGGTCCATCCATGTTATTGCAAATGGCAAAATTTCTTTCTTTTTTATGACTGAATAACATTCCATCTTATATATGTACCACATCTGCTTTATCCATTCATCAATTGATGCGCACTTTGGTTGCTTTCATGTCTTGGTGTTGTGAATAATGTGGCGTAAACATAGGGGTGAGTGTATCTTTTAGAATCAGTGATTTTGTTTTCTTCAGGTAAATTACTAGAAATAGAATTAATGGATCTTTGGGTATTTCTGTTTCTAGTTTTTTGAGGAACCTCCATACTGCTTTCCAGAGTGTCTGCACCAATTTACAATCCCACCAGCAGTATAGGAGGGCTCCCATTTCTCTACATTCTTGCCAACTATTTTTATTTCTTGCCTTTTTGATATTTTCCATTCTGACTGCTGTGAAGGGGTATCTCATTGTGGTTTTGATTTGAATCCCTGATGATGAGCGAATGTGGAGCATCTTTTCATGTGCCTGTTGGCCATCTGTGTTTCTTCTTTGGAAAACTTCATTCAGGTTCTCTGCCTGTTTTTTAATCAGGTTATTTGTTTTTTTGGTGTTGAGTAATGTGAGTTCTTTATTTGGGTATTAACTCTTTATCGGATAGATCATTGGCAAATACATTCACTCCTACAGTAGGTTGCCTTTTCATTTTGTTGATGGTGTCCTTTGCTTTACAGAAGTTTTTTAGTTTGTTTATTATTGCTTTTGTTTCCCTTGTCTGGGGAAAAAAATTACTGATCTCATGTTCAGAGAGATTTTTGCCTGTGTTTTCCCTAGAAGCTGATTCTGGAGACTAAAATAATCTCCAAATTATTTCAATTTTTCTAACTACTTCAGAAATGAATTTTAGAATATTTCATATAAGAAATATATTCTGTTTGTGTTATATTAGATTTTTCTTTTTAATAGGGCTTTGCAGTTTGCTGATGTAATTGTGTTATTTGGTGCCAGATTAAATTGGATTTTGCATTTTGGACTGCCTCCAAGATATCAGCCAGATGTGAAGTTTATCCAGGTACTCAGAGAGGAGGGATTTAAAATCAGAGTTATTTATAGTTTATTGTCTCCCACTTAGCCATTATCAGCTCTGCTTTCATCTTGGCTTTTGTAAAGAGCCATTTCTCTTTTTACAAAGGTAGAGTTTTATAATAGATGCCAAAATAAATTGCCTTTTCAAGCCTATGAAACATAATATGCCACTTATAACAAGAAGACCTTTCAAAATCAAGTTTTAAATAGTTTGATATGCATAATTTGCCTCTTCTTCTTAGTTCAACTCTATTTAAAAGTAGACAAAAGAGGTTTAAGTAGGATGGTAGATTAGAACACAGTATATTCAGCATTGTTAGGGATTGAGTTCATTTAGACGCCACAATTTTCAAACACCTTTTGGTTAGAAATCTCTAAACAATGCTGTTTTCACCTATGTCTTTAAACACAGTATTTGGAATATATTCTGACCTCCCTTTGATGAGTCTTGTATCATTAGGACCCTCTTTATAAGCCAGTTTCTTTACTACTGTAGAAAGTACTGCCCCTCTGCATAGTGGCATGCAAGTGTGGTCGTCCTACACAGATTATGTACGGTAATTAATGACCCAGCTACAACTGCTATCTTCTCCCCTATTTACCTTTTTATTAAGGTGTCAATTTCTAATAGTTCCTGTGTCCCTGAGGCCAATGAGAACTAAAACCAAAAACAAGCAAAACTTGGGTTGTACCTGGAAGATGCCACCTCCTCATTGCCCCTCAATTACAGAATAAAGTTGCATCCCTTTGGGCTAACTTACTCCTCTTTGCACAAGGTATTTTCATTAGTGCGTTGCTGTTCAGAAATGGACCTTCTGAGTAAATGGGAAGTAATCACGCCGTGCCCTAGGAGTGGTTCTTAGAATGTGGTTCCTGGGTCAGCAGCATCCACACCACCACTTGGGAAACCTGTTAAAAATGCACATTTTCAGGCCTCACCCCAGACCTATTAGGATCAGAAACTTCTGAAGTGAACTCTTGCAATCTCCAGTTTAACAAGTCTACCAGGTGATTCTTATGACACTCATATAGTTTAATGGTTTATTACTTTCATTAGGAAACTTTTTGAATAGAAAAATCCTTTATCATGTTACAGATAAACAGTTTTTATTCAGCCTTAATTGACTTCTTAAAGATTTTTAAAAACAAACATGGCATATTCTTCAGCCTTATCTGTTTTTTAGGTTGATATCTGTGCAGAAGAATTGGGAAATAATGTAAAACCTGCTGTGACTTTGCTAGGAGACATAAATGCTGTCACTAAACAGGTAAGAGCTTTTACCTGTATTTATTTGGGTTGGTCTTTAAGTTAATAGTTCTTGAAAATTTTTCAATCTTGATTCACATGTGATGGGTCTATTAATATCTGTTTTTAAACAAAATTTATGGTGGAAGGCTGTTCTTAAATGTAACTTCGGAACTCAATCCAACTCTTTGTATATAGATCATTTTTGAGTCAGTTAATAAATTTTGGAAGATGATTGAAAACTTAAAGTAGGCAAAGAATTGTTTACTAAATAGGATTTAGCTACCTGAAAAATTACAATGCAGCTTCCAGAGGAACTGCACTTATAGCCAAGAAATCTAACTTAGTATTTTTTTAGGCAATAAAGAGGTTTTTACTCTTCAAACTGTAATCAGTGACTTGTCCAGATTATTATTATTTGTACATAAAAATACATTTCACTGTGACAGGAGGTAAAATGTAGTCACATTTATCACTTGATTTTGGATACAAATTGTATTGTTATCATGGTTACTCTATTTTAGGATGCAATCCCCAATGATGTATTAAAACACCTTGGAGCATTTGGTTTGCATTGTGGGAATCCCTAGCCATTGGGGGCTATTGGCCCTCCCAAAAGGGTCTGTGGAGGGGTGATTTTCCTTCCAGTGTCCAAGCTCTGCCTGGGAGGTGAGCAGGAGGTGGCACCTGCTCTCTGTCCTGTGGGACCCCCAGGTCTGACCGCAGGCCACACCTGCCCCCACTAGAGCTTTCTATCACTTGTTTATCGTATCAGTTGTTTGCTGCTAGAGGAGAAATGGTATGAGTGATGTAAAGAGCAGGATCAATAGCAGCATTGTCTTCTTTAGGAGGAGATTTTTATGTTAGTATGATTTAAGTTTATTTTCAAAAAGGAAAGAAAATGTCTGTGGTGTTTTTAGCTTTTAGAAGAATTTGACAGAACACCATGGCACTATCCTCCAGAGAGTGAGTGGTGGGAAACCCTGCGGGAGAAAATGAGGAGCAATGAAGCAGCATCCAAGGTAACGCAGGGCCCCTGAAACCCCAGGACACAGCCGGTTCTGGCTCCATTAGTTCTGTCCTAACACACCATGTGCGTTCCCTGAGACACCACCCCGTGCAGGACTGTGCAGTCAAAACCTCAGGGCTCATGGGAGGCACAACTCTTACAAATGCTTAAAGCAGTAAGGTAGAAACCTAATGAAAATGGAGGCAAAGTTTTACACGTGTTGCACAGTTAAAATATACATTACAATGAATATGCATGTTACCTTGGAAGAGACCTGGAGCTCCTTTGTAGAAGTGGGCACAGGGAAGGCTGCAGCTTGTACAGGCAAAGGAGGAGGATCGGAGATTGGACAGAAAGTTCTTCAAGCCCATGTTTGACTTTGGCACTAAATCGTAATTCAGAGATCTTTGAGAACCTTATATCCTGATGTTTTGGGGGGCATGTTTTTCTACCTTTAAGATACGTCTTCCTTTTTTTAAAATTAAGGTATCATTGATATACATTCCTATGAATGTATATAAACTTGTAAGATACTTAAAGACACATCATGGTGAGCTGATAAACATGCATTATGGAAGGATTTTCCCCATCTAGTTAACACATCCATGAGTTCACATGTATTTTTTTTTTCTTTGGGTGGGAACATTTATGGCCACCTTTTTTCAATTAACATTTGTATCACTGCTAGAAATTCCTTTATGATTTCATCTGTACCCATGGCTTTGCCTGATAGCTGAAGGCTTTGGAAATCATAGTAATGTATGAAACTACCAAACCATCTACTCCTAGCCCTAAACTGAGCCACTTCTACAGCACTTGGTGACTTCTGTTTACGTCTCCACATATAGATAGTATTTTCTCTTTGGTTGGGAGAAAGGCTTGTCCTGATTTGTCTGGTGTTTTGTGTTCCTGTGCATGATGGTTCTACTGGGTGCAGTTTTTTGTGCTTACGCAGTATCTGCTACTGACAGAATCATGCAGAAGCAAATATGAGATTCAAGTTAATGCTCCTATTGTTCCCCAATGTATCAGTCTTCCTGGGATAAATTCACATTTTCGAAACAAGCAGAGTTGATTATATGTGATTCTTTCACTGGAAAGACACTTAATCAGTGACTCTTTATCTTATCAAGAGCCAGTCTCAATTCTGTTTCCTGAATGGTATCATGATTACTCTCTTCTTTTTTCCAGGAATCACCTTATGTTAGGATGGAAGGATCTTGCTTCTCTTGTCTGGTGCAGGAGTGTGGGAGGGGCCCTCATCTAGCCTGGGTCTGGTCTCCCGCAGGCCAGAGTAGCACAGGGGAAGATGCAGTGCTGGGGCCGAAGGGATTGTGCCTGCCAAGCCCCACGTGACCTGCTCTTAGCTCTGAGGGGCATATGGCAGGGCAAAGGTGTTCACCTTGCTGTTTCCTCCATTCAGAGACTGGAATAGTGAATGAAGCACACCCCCTTTACTTACCAGTATGTGTGGGCAAGAACCAGATTTTCAGACGTCCTTAAATCCTGACTTCTTCTTAAGCTTATGGCCATATTTCAAATTAAACTGTTCTAGAATAAAAATTCCTGTGCAGTGTTTTCCTAAAAGTGCTCAAATAAGCTTAGTTTTGATTAACCCAGTGTTTTTAGCTATCTTTACTATAGCTATCAGTTTTAGTACACAGATAGGCATTGTGAATCTCCAGGAAGAGGGCCATTACCTGGCTTATTTGTGTCTCAGACTGTGACTATGGGTCCCTTTTGTCTTAGCTTGTCCCCTGGGACTGTTCACAGATCAGTTGGCTTCTCAGAGTGGTCGTTCGGTGGCCATTTGGGAACTAGATTCATGGCACACACAGCTTATTGTTGCCTGTTTCTAGGTAAGTCTGATAGTAGCTCATTGACCTTGTCTCCTCTCACTGCATTTCCATCTAATTTGATTATATTTCCCTCAAATATTTTAGGAATTGGCTTCCAAAAAATCCCTGCCTATGAATTATTATACAGTCTTCTACCATGTTCAAGAACAGCTCCCCAGAGACTGTTTTGTGGTGAGTGAAGGAGCAAATACTATGGATATTGGACGCACTGTGCTTCAGAACTACCTTCCTCGTCACAGGTAAAGCTTCCAAAAAAGAAATTATAATGAATTATAATGTGTTAAACTTGAAACTGTAATAATGTAGGTTAATAAAACATTTGAGAATTATACATGTTCAGTACCTGAGGACATACTTTCTTAAAGTATTCCTAGGTGAGGTTTTATGTGATTGTGTACTGGGTGTTCTAAGATGCAGTCACAATCTTCCAAGCATTCATGAGTGATGTCTCCTGCTCACTTTGCATATCCTTGACGAGGTCGTTCCTCACGTTCTGAAAGCTTTATGGTAAAGAAGGAGAATGTTTTTATTGTCCTGAGCTGCCTGTGCACCATGTGAATAGGACTAGCTGTGTGCTGCCCCCACCATCTGTGACACATCCAGGGGTTCCTTTTCTCCTTGCTCCCCAACAGGCTCGATGCCGGCACTTTCGGTACCATGGGAGTCGGTCTGGGGTTTGCGATTGCAGCTGCTTTAGTGGCGGAGGATAGAAGCCCAGGGCAGCGGGTCATCTGTGTGGAAGGAGACAGTGCGTTTGGGTTTTCGGGCATGGAAGTGGAAACCATCTGCAGGTAAAACAGTGTCTTGGATCACGGCATTTCTTTCTTGAAAATATGAAAATCATGCGTAAGACCTATTTGCCTAACAATACTTGGCAAGCATCCCGTGTGCCAGCTTTCCCGTGTATAGCACTGTCCTGCATCCTGGTATATTAAATACTAGTAAAATGCTAATAAAAATAAGTGATGTTAGGATCTTTGTCATCCATGACAGTGCTCATGACGTCTCTACTGCCAAACCTGCGCAAGTGTGGGGGGTGGTTTGCAGTTGCCAAACAAGAAGTTCTGGTCTGAGAAGAAGCTTGTTTTCTGCCGGGAGACAGCAGGGTTTGGTGGTTAAGAACATGAAACCTGGTGCAGATGGCCTGACTGTAAATAATGGCTTGGCCGTGTGGGAGCCAAGTGACTTAATCAAACTTTACTCTCCTCTAAAACAGGGAAAAGGCTATTAATAGTTCCTACTTTAGAGGATGGTTGTAAAGAACAAATGAGCTAATCTAGGTAAAGCTTAAAGTGACTGCTCAGTGAATGTGACCTATTTAAATTGTGTTTATAGTTGTAAGGATTCAGGGAGAAACTCATGCACTGCAGATCCTGCTATAGAAGTGTGGGTTTGTTTGTTTTTTTCTGCCACTAGTAAAACCGTCCTTAACTGGGGCTCTTATTAGGGCTCCTGTAAAGCATGTTTAGGGAGCTTTCAAAGCTTTGATATATAAAACATTCAAGATTAGAGGGAAAATACGTGCCTGGTAGAGTGTCTCTATTGACAGTCAAGTGATACACACCAGGAGAGTGATTTATGGGGATCTGGAGAGCGATGGTTCCCTCTGAGCATGGGGAGCAGGGAGTTACCACAGTCCTAGTTTGTTTTACATCTGATCTCAGGAATTATATCTGTAGAAAAGAAAGCCCATGTTCTTCTGTTAGTCATTAGTAAAGACAGCCTTTTTCTCTAATTGTTACACTGTGGGATGTTTTTCTAACCGTGAGTGAAGGCAAGAATATGTGCTCATCACTGCCTCCCATAGCATCTAGCGTGTACCTACGATTGTCCATGAGGAGCCTGTAGATTCTTTTCAAACAGTACTTCTAGGCACCACCTAGAAATGGTACTTCAGAGGGTAGTAAGTGTGGAAGGTGTCATTCTTATTAACACCTGCATCTGTGAAAAACAGAGTTCAGAAAAGCTGAAGTATTTGCCCAAGGTCAATGGCGGCATAGTGGTAGAACCAGGTCTATGAACCCCTAATCTTGTATTCATTCTACTACTCCACAATGTTTCTGTTAATGATTTGATATTCTTTACTAGGATAACAAATGCTTACTTTTTAGTCTTACAAAAAGGCTACCCATTTTTAAGTAAAAATTTCAGCCCAAAGAAAAGAAATTACTTGAGAATAAAGAATGCTTTCCTTTTTTATTTTTTATTTTTTATTTTGATATCATTAATGTACAATTACTTGAACATTATGGTTACTAGACTCCCCCTATTATCAAGTCCCCCCTACATACCCCATTACAGTCACTGTCCATCAGTGTAGTAAGATGCTATAGAATCATTACTTATCTTCTCTGTGCTATACTGCCTTCCCCATGCCCCCCACCTCCTACATTATGTGTGCTAATCGTAATGCCCCGTTTTCCCCCTTATCCCTCTCTTCCCACCCATCCTCCCCAGTCCGTTTCCCTTTGGTAACTTAGTCCATTCTTGGGTTCTGTGAGTCTGCTGCTGTTTTGTTCCTTCAGTTTTTCCTTTGTTCTTATATTCCACAGATGAGTGAAATCATTTGATACTTGTCTTTCTCCGCCTGGCTTATTTCACTGAACATAATACCCTCTAGCTCCATCCATGTTGTAAGAATGCTTTCCTTTTATCTTTTGCTCCCAATTTTAGATACAACTTGCCAATTGTACTTTTGGTGGTGAATAATAATGGAATTTACCAAGGCTTTGATACAGGTACTTGGAAGGAAATGTTAACATTTGGAGATGCTACTACAGTGTAAGTAGCCCAGAATAATGTATATTTACTTTCATCTGTTCCAATCTCTCTCTTCAAAGTCTGCTGTACTGGGATGCGCTACTGAGCTGGTAGTATTGCTCATTTATATTGTCAGCCCTTCTGAGGGGCAGGAACCCTGTCTGCATGGTTCCTTTTTGCACAACCATCTGGGATCGGGTGTCTCAGTAAATAATTTATGACCAGGGAGCCACTGAAGACTTGGACAAATTAGTTTGATGGCTAAGCCTTGTTAAGGAAAGGGCTATTGCAACATGCTCCATCCTTCTGTCCCTGCTTTCCCACAAAGGAATGTCACTGCTCACCTGTTATTTGTGATCCTTCCTTCTCTTTAACACTAAGCTAAATCCAATCATCCGGTGACACAGCCAGGCTGAGAGCATGTTGTCCGCGAGGGGAATCTGTGAGTCCTGGGGATGCAGCAGGCTTGTGTGCTGACTTCACTTGTTGTCACTCTCTGTTTTGTGTTCATTCCTTTTTTCTTCTTTTTCTTTTGGATTCATAATAGTTGCCATGTACCCTGCACTGCACACTATAGCCGCTAGCTACGTGTGGCTATTTAAGCTGAATTAAATTAAATAAAAAATTCAGTTCCTCATTTTGACTAGTCATATTTCAAGTGCTCACAGCAACAGGTTGCTAGCGGCTTCTATACCAGATGGCGCAGATAAAAGATATTCCATCATAGAAAGTTCTCTTGGACATTGCTGTATAGGTAATTAAAAATATGTGGAAATTTACTGTAGCGGCATCTCAGTTTAAGTGTTGGACATAAAAGTATGCCTTTCAGTTCAGTCTAAGTTTTTCCACAGATTATTTCAGAGAATGATTTTTTTCTGTTGGCTTGTGACCTCCTTTTTCAGAGCCCCTCCGATCTGTCTTCTTCCAAACTCACATTATGAGCAGATCATGACTGCATTTGGAGGCAAAGGGTATTTTGTACAAACACCAGAAGAACTCCAGAAATCCCTGAGGCAGAGCTTGGCAGACACAACTAAACCCTCTCTTATCAACGTCATGATCGAGCCACAAGCCACACGGAAGGCCCAGGTATGTGCACTTGCTAAGCGGAAAGCAGAAGCTCATCTCCCCTCCAGCCCCCAAAAGTACCTGCCAAATGGAGCACCCTGTTACTGCACAGTGCTTTCTAAACCATTTCTGACTTGGCAGTTAAATATCTGTTGAGGTATGTGTTAGGTGTGCTGTGTCAGACAGCATTCTGAGCAAACCCAGGCTCAGCCCTCACTTCCTGGAGCTTATGGTCCAGTTGGGGAGAGGTACTGTCTAGTCACTTCATGACTGGATACAGCACGGCAGAGGAAGGCAGGTGCTCTGAAGGAAAGGCACCAGCTCTGAACGAACACACAGCAAAGGAATCATGGCTGTATTGGGGTCATAAGGCTTCTCAGAGGAAGAGATGTTTGAAACTGAGCTCCAAAGGATAAGTAGGGACAAACTCAGCAAAGAGGCCGGGGAAGAGATGTGCAGAGGCTCTGTGGCAGGTGGGAACAAGGCAAGTCTGAGCTACTGAAAGAAGGCCAGAGTGGCTGGAAGGCAGAAAGTGGAGGAAACACAGTGGGAGATGAGACTGTCACGGGGCGATTGGTGCAATTGCATTCAACATTTGGACCTCTTTAGTTTATTCTGTTCTTTTGAGTTTACTTCTAGTTCTTTTTGGAGTCTAGTTTTCTGTTCTCTGATTACTGTTAATGGGGGAGGACCCAGAAAGCCATTTAGGTTGTTTGTAGAATAAGACAAAAAGGTTTGCTATGAAGTTTTAGCTCCTTTTTGGCTAAAGCATAAGACCAAAGACAAGTTTCATCTCTCACCACTGTGGTAAAGGTGGTTATTATGGGACTTACGATTTTAGGGCAAGCAAAACAGTGAGGACATAGTTTGATACAGTTACAGTTACTTCTTTTGATTGAATGTTATCTTTTCTTTTTCTAGGATTTTCACTGGTTGACTCGCTCTAATATGTAAATAAAGATGCTGGTAAGAGTGGCCTTGAGGAGTTTACTCTTTCCTGTGAAGTGGAATTTTCCACAGCAAAATTACTATGTTAAAATATTTACACAAACAAATAAAAAACATTTTTAAATTGCGTTTTATAGTAAAGGAATTGATTAAAAACAGAAAAGTTACCAGTGTTATACCACAGATGGTTTTATATTCACAGAAAAGGTTTTATTAAGTAATAGCATTGTAACTGTCTAAAAGCTGTTACACATCAGTATTCTTTTACATAAATAAGATTACATTCTTTGACATACATCTTCTGACGACAAAAGCCCCAAGGATTACCTGGTTAGAGGCGTGTTCAGGAAGCTGGAAGGTTGGGCTGCTCCTGCTGCGTCGCTCCATCTGTGGACGCCTTGGCAGCTCGGTCTCCCCAGTACTTAATGGGGCTGGTTCTGCACTCTGTGAGTTGGGTTTTTGTTTTGTGCTGTTTTGTTTTCCTGGAAAAATCTTACTGAGCCAAAGGAGAAGTCACACCATACCCAAACTAATAATTTGGGTTAGCAGCCTCAGTTTATGAAACTGCATTGAAACCAAGAGAGGCAACGGCCTTACCATATAAAGAATTCTTATGAATATTAAGAATATGAATATACTAGTAGAAAATTAGGCAAAGGGCATGGTATAATTAACAGAAAAAAATGGTCAATAAAAGTATGAGTGTGAATAAATATAAACATTCAAGAGGCTGAAAAGCTTTTTTTTGCCTATCTACTTGACAGAGCACTTTTCAAATTTGATTCTGAGCATGGGTGAGGAGGCCGTGCAGCGGCACCACTGTGCTGTGGTGGCTGCAGTCTGCGGGGCACCTGTGGACTGAATCTAGCTGTGCCTGACTGGGATTTTAAAAATGTGCACACCGTTTTTTTCCCATATTTCCCCTTTTTTATTGCCATTCCATTTATCTTTGTGACTGTTTTTCTTTACATTGAGGAACACATAACAAAGTGCACAAATCTTAATGGACAGCTTGATGAATTTTGACATGTGTATATGCTCTTGTAACCATCACCCAGATAAGATAATCAAACACTTATTTTTCCCTGTTCACCTATTTTACCCATACCCCCACTCCTCTCCCCTGTGGCAGCCACCAGTCTATTCTCTCTGTGAGTCTGTTTTGCTTGTTCATTTGTATTGTTTTTTAGATTCTACATATAAGTGAAATCATATGAATACTCCATAACTTTTGATGCAGCGAGCCTATTTAGGGAATGTGTTATAAAGAAACAATAAAAAATTTTGGGCAAATACATACAAGACTATTCAGCATAGTTTTATTTAGGAACAACCCCTATGTTTAACAGTAATATTGGTTACATACATTATGATCTGTCAACATCATAAAATAAATATTGTATTAAAGAATATTAATAGAGAAATAATCACAATGTAATTTATGTGAAAAAAGCCAGCTACAAAGTGGATAGACCCAGGTCTGGATACACCTGTACTTACTGGACACATACATACCCAGAGAAAAAAGATGGGTGTGAAATAAACCAGAAATTCGATATAACTTGGTGTTGGGGTTATAGGTAATTTTTATTTTCTCTTCACGTTTTTCCTTCTTTTACAAAATTTTAAAATAATAATTATATAATATTATCAATAACTGACACTATTTTAAGAGAATCTTAGAAATGGAATAGTATCACTGCAGGGTCATTCCTGTGTATAATCTTCAATTTGATGAGAATTGGAGCTCAGGACATTATATCAAAGTCCAGCCTCTTTGTTCCATAAAAGTCAGATCTGTCTCCATTGGCTAAATAGGGGCATAGACGACCTCCACACGGTACACTGCAGCTCTTAAGTGTTAACGCAGGAGATACATGCAGGGAGCTATACTTTTACCCAACAAGGCCTACCCAGGTCTGCAGCTGCCCCTCTGGTAGAGAACCTGGGCTGCATAGCCTCAGCAGCAGTGTCTCTAACCACGGACGCCTGCCTTGGGCAGCTGAATACAACACAAGATTCTGCTATAAGATAGTGTGGGGGACTTGATGAATATTTGTGAATGGAACTATATAAATATAAATACTATATAGATATAAATTGAGGAAAATGCTCCTTTCCTAGTCATGTGATCTCGAAGGAAAAAAAAAAAAGGCGGTAGTTTAGTAGACTGTCCAGCAGAGGTCAGTCTGAGCATGTAAAGACCAGACCGGTCCAGTGGCACTGTTTTGAAATGAGTCTCATTGTAGGATTTTTCTTGAAAAGGATAAAGTATTGAATAAGTCCTTCTAAAATGAATCTCTTGGTTAATAGCCAAAGCTTACTTTGATAAAATATTTTGCACCTCCTAGTTTAATAATGAATACTCTGATCCTACTACGTTGAATACTCAAGTGCCTCATAAAAACTGAACTTTGAAAGATTATGGTTGTTTTCTTGATTTAGAAAAACCAAGAATCCAGGGTGGGGAATGATATGCTGGGTTAGTTCCTCTACTAATATTCTTTGTAGAGTCTTTCATACTTCATGGGGTTGTTTGGGGATTCAAAAAGCTATCCAGAAGTTTCTAGCCCAGTGCTTGGCTTACAGAAGGCACTTAGTAAATGCTCCATGATTTAAGAAGCTGTGGCTTTAGAGGAGCGCGCTGGCCAGAGTTAATCCTGCCTGACTGTGTTTCACTTTTCAAGTAAACGAGTCTTACTTCCCCAAGTAGGTGAGTCATTTCCTGGAAAACAGGTTATATGTTTTTACTTCCTTATATAGCCTTCAACTCTTCAAGGGTTCTCTCAGTAATAGTTGAATGAGAATTCATGATGATTGGAAACAGCTCAGTGAGTATTTTCTATGATTATTTCACACATGCATCTTTGAAGTAGCTCAGCTTACTATGTGAGATGAGTGTATTTTCCTCAGAAAAAAAGTCTCAACTCTGTTACGAAGAAATAATAAGACTTTTGAACACCAAAGGAAAATGAAAATAACCTTGAATCCAGGAATATTTTTGTTCCTGTACTCTTTGAAGACACTTTGCTAGACAGTGAGGAAGCAGTATCTTCCAATGAAGAAGTGGCATGTGACTAACAATGCAAAAGTAGAGTTCTGGAATTTCATATGAACGTTTTAATAAAGTTGGAGACAAGTTAAATTCCAGATGGAATGCGTGACTGAGAAACCCTGATAAAACTGACTCTGCTGATTGCTTGGGGAGTAAAATGTGTGCAGGTGACGTTTGAATCATCTGGTTTTTCTGGTTGCATTTGCTGCTGCTAATCTGAGTGATGGACTAGCATGTATAAAGGAAATTGAAGATCTACGAGTTCCTCCTACGGATAAGGTACAAAGGAGAGCACAAGCACCTGGGGTACAGATCTGACAGGCAGGACACCTCTGGTTTTCACTGGATCATTTTGGACCTTCCTTCCCCTCTGAGGCTTTTTCCTCCAGGAGAAGAGGTAGCTGATCAGTGAACACATGGTAAATCCTGAACCCATGGTAAATCCAGGGTGTATGGTTACCTTTCAGTGAGGGAGCAGGGAAAGGTACACCTAGAAACCTCAGGATCTCCAGTTCCAAAGTTTAAAGGAAGCACCTTACATGTAACTCAGGCCTGGAGATATCCGCAGAGATGGCGGCATCCATATTTTTCCTTCTGCCCAGCAGTCACTGGAGCCAGCTCTGGAGTTAATCCACAGCTGTAGAGTTCACCCTGAGGCCCATTCCCTGGCCCTGGCGTGTTCCTAGGAATTGCCTCCTCATTCCGCTGGTCAGGGTGGACTCGAGACCAGAGCCGCTCTGTCTTAGCGGGAGCTCTGCTCGTGCTGTCTCCACTGCAGTGCTCTCTGCACTCCCACTGCTTTTTGCCATGTGGAATCAGCTATGTCCTTCAAGGTCCCATGCAAAGGTCACCTCTTCGGTAATGGCCTTCAAGGTCCCATGCAAAGGTCACCTCTTCGGTAAAGCTGTCCTCCCTGTCAGCCCTCCGACAACACCCTGCACCACTCAATTCTGTCACTACTCATGATGTTCATGGTTAACTGACTCCCTCTCACCCTCCCCGTCTTGATTGAGTGCCGTGTGCCCAGATGTCCCCCAGCCTGCATCTCCCAGGACCCGGGTCTCAGGCTCCTGTGTGGCAAATTCCTCTGTGAGCTCACCACTGCGGAACCACTTGAGGCACAGAGGTATGTAAACATCACACACATTCTCCTGCAGGAAGGGCCTGTGTCACAAAGGCTGCACCAAACAACTTCAAACACAGATACATATTGGAGGATGAGCTGCCAGAGCCAGAAAGGAGCCCTCCGCAATGCCTAGGGTGCCAGTTACAGGCAGTGGGGGGGTGGGGGGCTTGGGGCCATGAGCCCCTGACCTTATGCAGAGTCTCTACCCTGGCAAAGTGGGTCAAAAGAGAATTGAGTTACTAAAAGGAAATACTTTTTAAGTGCTGTGGGCTGAAATTTATATTTATACCCACTATGTTCATAAAACCATTTTATAATCCACTATGCTGTCCCCGTCTGCCCCCCCATCAACCACTCCACCCCCTTTCCTACCACCCTACCTTTGTTGTTATATTTCAGAATTTTCATGTTTATCTTCACTTATTTTTCCAAATTAACTTTAGTAGCAAAAAAAAATCTGTTTTCATTGGAGTGTGTTTGAATATATATAGTATACTAATAGAAAAACTTAAGGTTCAGTAAGGTCTGCTGATCAGAAGACAATTGCTATGAAAAGTTTCTCACAGTTCCCAGAGAGAACACCACACTGCGCGCAGAGTTAAGGCTAGGGTCCTGCCAAGAAGATTGGGTCAGTTTTTGTTTGAATGTGTTTGCAATTCTTTTGCATATATGTCTAGAGATGAAATTGTTGAGCCATAAGAAAATTGTATTTCAATCTGTCTAAGGAAACCAAACTAGCGAATGCGTTGGCTGCACCAGTTTACATTTCCACAAGCAATGTTTATGGGTTTTAACTTTACATCCTTGCAAACATTGTTATTTTTAGTTTTCTTGATTATAGTCATACTAATGTGTTGTGAAGGAGTATGATGGTGTGATTTTAATTTACATTTCCATAATTACTAATGTGGAATTTAACATCTTTTCATGTGCTTGCGGATGTTTCTA